CTACATATTTTATATTTGATCTTTTTAAAGGTTTCTATATCATCACCATCTATGGTTTTAAAGAGGAAGCATCACTACGTATGCCCCCTTCATAGAGCTACCCATTAGCTTATTAAAATCAAATTTGGCTCTAGCTATATTCATCTTTTTCTTGGGCATTAGCTTAATCATTGCCATAAATAATTACAATCATGTCTATACTTGGCATTTCTACAACATTGCTTATTTGCTTACCATGTTCACATCACCCTTTTCATTCTTGTCTCCAAGTGTCAGAATTATACGGTATTTTGGAAGCAAGTCCATTATGTTATCTAATTGTTAGATAAAATGTGTTTTCTACCTCTCTTGCTGCTTTTTACAGGTATATAATATCAAATTATATAACTGTTGTACATAATTTACTGTGGGCAGAATGAGCCTTATGACAAACTGCTGGGCATAGGTGTTCTTTGTAGGTAACAGTCCTCATCATGGGTAACCCGACTGTTCTTTGTAACAGTTCTCTTCTACACCCCACCTTTGTGCTTCTTTTTTCTATTTCATCCTTAATAAAAGAAAGCATAGCTTCTTAGTGTCTTCTTTCTTGTAGGCTTCCACTGCATCTTCTGGACAGTGGCAAAGGAAATTTGTCACTTTACCACCTTTGCTACTCGTTCAGTTTTGTTTGGAGCAAATAGTTCTGAGATTACAGAGTGTAATATGCTTAACTCTTGTTCAAAAGCCATGACCAGTTTTGTTTGCTAGGCCTGAGTCAAAATCCTTATAAATCATTTTGATCCTGTCCAGTTGATGTAACCAATGAGTTCTGGATGCCATAACTTGTTGGGTCAGTTTTTCTTATCTGGCTAATTGGAATGCCATGTCATAGCTAGCTGGACCACTAAGAAGAGTTATCAGCCTTCCTCCTTGTGCACCAAGGCCAACATGCTGGGACTGTTAAGATTTGAAATTGGAAATTTTCCCAAACAGACTGTGTGAAATACACCGGAGTTTGAAATTAGAGTTTTCCTTCTTTTAAATCTTCTCTGAAAAGGCTTAAATGAGCTCAGTTTCTTTATAATAAAATTGATGCTCTCGAGAAAGATTTGCTGCATGGCACTTGAGAACTTGCCTCAGTGCTGCTGTATCCCAGTGTAGGACCTAGAGAGATTTTATTGTCAATAACTTAGATTCTGCAGGCTAAGATATCATTTTCCTGGGTTAAAGTACCCAGATGCTGACCCCAGTTGAGCATAGATTCATAGATGCTAGGGTCGGAAGGGACCTCAATAGATCATCGAGTCCGACCCTCTGCATAGGCAGGAAAGAGGGCTGGGTTCAGATGACCCCAGCTAGATGCTTATCTAACCTCCTCTTGAAGACCCCCAGGGTAGGGGAGAGTACCACCTCCCTTGGGAGCCCGTTCCAGACCTTGGCCACTCTAACTGTGAAGAAGTTCTTCCTAATGTCTAGTCTAAATCTGCTCTCCGCTAGCTTGTGGCCATTATTTCTTGTAACCCCCGGGGGCGCCTTGGTGAATAAAACCTCACCAATTCCCATCTTTGAGTGAATGACCATACAGACAATCTGAGTCTCCAGTCTTTTTGTTTTCCTGATTTAACCAAATAAGCCTCTTAGTGTAATTCAAATTTTGACATAAACAAACAGATACATGGATTGAGCTTTTTTCTCTCTTTTCTTGGAGAGAGTCTGCTATGATGTTAGTTAGTTAGTTACATATAATAGAATGTTAAAATGATTAATTTTTGCTTACTACGCAGGAACAAGAAGCTAGGATGGAAGCTGAGCTATTGAAAGAAAATGAAGTTTGGGGAGTGAAGTGTAGGCAACATGAGGTAATATGCAGGCATGAAGTTTTCTCCAAAAGAAAGTTACTGTTGTTCATGTGAATGAAATGTTTATTCTTATCTAGAAGAACATAGTGTATCTGAATGATGTTACTGTGTGTATTAGGAAACTATCTCTGTATAGGTGTGAGGAACGGGGAATGTTAGGTTATGAAATGCCAGTCTGTATCTTCTCAAAGGTGTCAAGTCCATTTTAGATATTCAGGCTTTTCCTATTTTCTGTTGTTCAAAGGTTGGTAGCACAGGCTTAAAAGTTAGTGGTTATACCACTGAAAAGTAATTGTACTAAATATGGTAGCTCTTACTGAAGAGAAATGTTGTGTTGAGACAGGTTGCCTTAGCAGTGATGTTACTTAGAAGGTATCTAAGTACATGATGAGGTTTAGTAAAGTGAAGGAAGTGATATCCTGGGGACTAAAAAGTTCTAAAAGGAGCAGGGACTGAGCAATGTGTCCTTCCCTTGTCCACATTCGGCAGCTCAAGCCAAGTGGCATCTGCCTGCACCAAGAGCTTGGTGAGGTGGGGGAAAACATTGTCTGCCTGCCTTCACACAATGGATCCCCAACTAGAGATAGGGTATCGTGTTAAGAGAGTCATTTTGTTCTAATGATATGTAACTTCGTGTGTTTATCTTTAAATAAACTGTGATGGCATAAGAGGATTTGTGCAAAGCCTTTCTGTATTTATATGTGTGTGCACTTGTGTGTGCATGCCTTCTGACAAGTTAAACTGTAAAACAGAGAGCACACACTTTTAGTAAGATTCGGGGAGATGATTAGTTTAAGTTGTGGTGCAAGCCTGATGGGTCTTGGCTGGACTGAGTGGGGACAAGCAGTTGAACTGTGAGTAACAACTGTCTGGTTTGGGTGCTAGAAAGAAAGTACATGAAAGTGCCTGGACTGAAATTCTAGAGGGTGATGGAACTACAGAGAGTGGCCAACAGGGAACATTCATCCAGATTACATCATAGTGGTTTAGAAAAACATGAAATTTATTACTTGGAGCTCTTTGTAAGAGTTGGATCTGGCTGAGCAGGCCACTTTTTTTTTCTGCAGCTGCAAACAGCTTTCAGCTCTACACCCAAATAAAGATTTAGCCATCTTTTAAAGTAAGAGGACTCAGCTATAAGAGTAGTAGGCTAACCTACTAGGAAACAAAATAAAATCAGATTAGCAGAATGTAAAGTATAATTATTATTCAGAAAGGATAGCCACATAATTTCTTAATAATAAATCTGTGCCAATCTCTTTTTTTTTATTACACTTGGATCTCAGGTATAGTTTCAGTATATCATATTCTGAATATGCATTTCAATTGTTCTTTTGGATTAGGAATTCATCAAAAGATTACAACTGCAAATGGAAAAGGAGAAAAGTATCTTTGAAGAGCAGCAAGCAAAAGAAAGACAGCACTTAGCAAAGCAGCAGCATACAGCAGCTGTGAAAATACAAGCCAAAATGAGAGCATTTTTAGCATACAGAAAATATGCACCCATCCTAAAAGAAAGGAAAGCAGAAATTAAAAGGAGGAAGGAGCTTAAAGAAAAAATGGAGAAGGAAGTGAAAGAAAAGGAAGACAAATTACGACGGCAAATGGAGGAAAGGAAGGGGGGAAAAGAGCAGGAGAGGAAGAGACAAGAAGAAATAGAAAGACAAAACTTTATGGAACAAGAGAAGAGGCGTGAAGAATATGAAAAAAAGAAAGTAAGTCTGAAGTTTGAAAGAGAAAAACAGCTTCAATTAAGACAGCAAGAATCAACAAAATTGGAAGTGAGAATAACCAGGGACAAGATGGCTGAAAATAGAGAAAAAGATGCACACAATAGAGGAGAGGAAAAAGAGAGAGAAGATATAAAAGAAATAAGAGAAGAGGAAAAGGATCAGAAAAAACAGATACAGGAAATAGTTGAAGAGGAAGATAAAGCTACTAAAAAGATGCAAGAAGTAAATAATATGGAGATTCCGAAAGAGAGAGAACTGACATCACCGAAACCTGGGAGGAAAGAACAATCTTCTGAAACAAATATTGAAGACTTAGATGAGAATTCAGTGGTACATGTAGAAAAAAGTTACTCACAAACTATATATATTGATAAAAATATAAATGCAAATACTTTGGATTGTGATCCTGTTGACCTTTCTGATGTTAATGTAATAGGAAATAAGGAAAACAGTATACTCAGCAGTCAGTATAATGTGAAGTCTCATCCAGACACTGAGAAAATAGAACACAAAGTGCAGTCTTTTAATTTTGAAGTAATTAAAACATCAGAAGATGCAATGGGAGAAATGCAGGTGGAACTCATTGAAAATGTGGATAAAAGTGATAAGAGCACTGAGTATTCTGAGAAGTCATTAACATTTTATGATGATATTGAAAAGAAGAGACTAACATGGATGAAGACATGTAAACCGTGGTCTGAAATTTGTAG